TGCAGTTGAAAAATGAATTTATTGACAGACCAGACTACCAGCCACTTTCCTTCCTTATCTGCCCATGACGGTGGAAGCGTTTCCACAGCCATATCGACACATTATATCTCACAATCACTGTGTCCATCTCAATGTGGAAAATTATCATCGACAAAATAATAATTGCTCTTAATGTCCTATACGCTGTGATAAGCCAATCATACCAATTAAACGTAAATTTTCCGTTCGCACTTTGGCTGTATACATTTAAGTGCTATGACTACCCGGACGGGCAGATCAGTAATCATCTGAAATCACTCATCAAAGACCAACATATCCGTTGGCGGAGATTTCCCTCACCGCCAACATCTCGTCACAATACACCCCTGCCCTGAATTCTAAGTCATAACGCGTGCACCATACGATGCATCCCAGGTTTACGATTCCCCACAGACCGAGCTCAACATTGGTGATTAGAGACTGAAATAGTTTGTAGTAGTAGCAGACTCGCCCAGCGTCCGCCGAACTCTCTCTCCTCCCTCATCCGGTGATCGAAGGTGGGCTCAAACGCGGCAATCAAAAGGGTAAAACGGCCCGCCTAAGAGTGCCGCACACGACCTGGTTCGCGCATAGTGGACCAGGACCACACAAAAGCAGGAGGCTGTTCGGATTGCGCGGGCGTGAGAGTGCCATGGGCACCATATCACAAAAGAGTAGCTAACCTGACTCTCAATTGTATATCCAAACGACAGTTCGACCATCGATTTCGATGATGTCCACCGTGAGCCCCACTGACTGCATTGTGGAGCAGGGCCGGTAACTTACGCAGGGGTTTATAGTGCCAGTAGACTTGCGTAGCATCTACCTACATTCTCTCCTCCTCCCCCGCCTGAGTCAAGAAGACCGGAGACGGGGGAGGCCGCAGGTGGATGGCTCGGACGAATCCTCGCCTTGGCGATCCACTCCGCACCCCCTGATCCGCACACAAATGACCAAAATTTTGACCACAAAGCAATGAGGTGGTGGCAGTGGTCCAGTTGTGCGACGGCTGCCGACAACAGGGTCCGCCAGCGCACCCCGCAAACGTTGGCATTTGTTATTGCGCACAGATAACGCCTGCCAGAGTCCGATGTGGCCCCCGTGTTGGTCCAGCGCATCTAACAAGTGGCCCGTTTGGAGGACACTATATCCAAACACACTACATGCACAATACTGGCCGCGAGAACTGAGTTGCTCATTTAGCTGGGAAACTTCTAAGCTTCGACTTTTAAGGCGTCGTGAAAGTTCCAACGCGCGTCAGATTCATCATTGTGAGGAGCATGCTGAAATTCTGGGAGGATAGAGTTCCCAGAGTTGATCTCTCTCTCTCTTTCTTCTCAACCCTGCATCAGTGCACTGTTCGAGCCTGTCCGCTAATTTGTGCTAGAATTGGGCGCAACAGTTAACAGAGCTGAACAGCACGTCTACACTGGCCACACACACACACACAAACATACGACCCAGGTCTTCACACGAAAAGAGGCAGTTTTAATCTCACGTGCCTGAGGGTGCCATGACGGCCACACTAAAAAGGAAGGATGTGTTCTAGACCCGCTTTCGCCCAAGACTGACTGACTGGCGCAAAGCCAAGTCGCGCATAACGTACGCTAAACAATTAACTGTCTATTTTGCCGATACAGGCAAGACGTCAACTTCCGGGTGACATGTGGGAAGAGTGGGAAGGGGAGACTTGATCAGCGAGGGACGAACTGACTTTTCGGGTTTCGTCTCGAATTCATAGCGAGAGACATCATCAGGTACGCCCTGCGGAAGCACGAGGGGGGTGCAGGTCTAACGCAATTCGCAGCCCGCGCATGCATCCCAGATGGTGGTGATGACTACTTGGTCGCCCGCACCTGACTCATTAATGACCGCGACTGGCACTTCAAGTACTCCGTTCTTTAGCTCACCAAACTTGTCACTGTAAGCAGGGGACTCCCGCGTGACTTACTACTCTCTCTACAGTGAGTGACTGATCTCATGAAATGTTGGCTGAAATTCTGAAATCCGTTTTCGATTAGGAAGGATTACTTGGTCGCGGTTGTAATACTGATTATCTTGCGGCGTACTCTTATAACATTTTGAGCTCGGCAGGATGTCGGCTTTTAAATGCACGTCTTTCTAATCTCCTCTAGGAAGCGTACTCGGTAAAAAATGACTACATAAGTAGCATGAATTTTTCCCATTCAAATATACTTTATAGAAACAATAAATAAAAATATGCTTTCTTTTAGTCAATTATTAGAGAATCACGTCTTCTTATATTTTATACTTAAGGAAGGAGTATAATTAGGTTTTAAAAAAGTTTATAATTATGAGACTTTTAAGACCGCGATATGTCCATTCACATAGCATCGTACCTGGCCGTTTACCACTGCTCCTCATGAAATGTACAACATGGTCCACATCCATTGCAAAATTTTATGGACCCTGTATGATATCTCTTTAATGACACAGAAAAATATGGGATGTTCTTTAAGTGGGACGCATGCACCTTGTAGAATGGAATCACTAAGCGCTAATGCAACGAATGATCAGGCTCCAAATTTTTCAGCAATAAGAAAACTTTTTTAAAACCTAATTATACTACTTCCTTAAGTATGAACTATAAAGAAGACGTGATTCTCCATTTATTGACTAAAAGAAAGCATATTTTTTTTTATGGTTTCTATAAAATATATTTGGATTTGCAAGACCATCGAAAATCCATGGGAAAAATGCATGCAACTTATGTAGTCATTTTTTTACCGAATACGCTTCCTAGATGAGATTGAAAAAAAGTGCATTTAAAAGCCGACATCCTGCCAAGTTCGAATTGTTATAAGAGTATGCCGCAAGATAATCAGTATTACCACCGCGACCAAATAATCCTTCCTAATCGAAAACGGATTTCAGAATTTCAGCCAACATTTCATGAGATCGGTCACTCACTGTAGGTAGACTTAGCTATGAGCATGGCGGGAGGTGATTATTGGTGCTGTTATTAGACCACATCATCACGTTTTAAAGTGCAACTCGACTACGATGAAGGAATCCCACCCTTCCTCTCTAGTGTTAGTGCGTATTCGCACATTCGTTTCCTTTCCCTCCTATGTAGTTGCTTCGCCACCAACTGTTGGACATCCAGTCAAGAGCTTTTGGGCGTTCCCTGTCCTGGTCGTGGATCTCCCTCGGCACCCTCATTTGCCGACTGACGGCTGTCTCCGGTCTGCATACAACTACGATTTCTTCATATTGGCCCAACTCGGTGCCTCGGTGGGATTCGAACACAGGTAGTAAGGGGAAGGCGTCCAACCACTTGAGGTACGAGGCCCGTCTGAAAAGGTGGATGGCGGTTGCTAAAGTGCTCTCGACCTGAGAAAGCGCCCATTAAAATGCCATTCACAGGCACGGTTGGTTATATCATCTCGTTTTTGCATATAGCATTGACAGTTCGACCATCGGTTTAGATGATGTCCACCGTGTGCCCCACAGTTGCAGCAGCAATGGGAGCAGGGACGGTGACTTACGCAGGGGTTTCTTATGCCAGTAGACTTGCGTAGCATCTACCTACACTCTCTCCGCCTCCCTCGCCCGAGCCCGGTGTCAAGACAGAGTCAAGAAGACCGGAGACGAGGGAGGCCGCAGGTGGAGGGCTCGGACGGATCCTCACCTTGGCGTTCCACCACACCCCCTGGTCTACACAACAAATAACCAGGATTTCAACCAACACAACAGAGATTTGGAGGCTGGCACGGCCGAAGCCGCACCTGGGCGTGCCGCCAACGCCTGGCTCGGATCCCACACTGTGATGGGAGTGCCATAAAGGCCACGTTAAAAAGGAGCCATTACAGCCTGGCTCTCAGACCGCCTCCAGTTAAGGAGGAGGTCCAAGTTACCCCGTCAGTTGGCAACCTTCCAAGCCACGGCTTTTAGTGCACGTGAAAGCTTCAAGCGCGTCAGATTGTTTATAGTGAGGAAAATGCGCTGAGTCGTCGTGGAGGTGGAAAAGAAGATGGCGAAGGAGAAGAATAGGCAGAGGAAGAGGTAGAAGAGGTAGGATGAGGAGGTGAGCGAGTATTGTTGTTGTTGTTGTTTCGATTTTGATTGTTTCGACCATGTTTAGACGTCTGCGGCCCTGGCTAGCCTGAAGACGGCGTGGTGCCCAGCAATGTTTAGGCCACCTTTTCTAGGCCCTTCCCCTCGTGGGGGCTGGCAGTGCCATCCCTTAATAGGGCTGCCATGTGCCGTTGTGGCACGGCCGAACTCCACTGTGGGGCCACGACTTCGGGTTGTAGTGGAGAGCGACTCGAATTCGCCGTAAGCCGCGGTCTCCGACGGCGTAGGTGGGCGCATCAAGGCGATGTCGATGTGAAGATCCATCCCGTCACCGTCTGTCCAGCGGCGTGCAAATACGAACCACGTCACGACGGTGCCGACGCAAGGTTCCATCCGACCTTCCATTCATCGGAATCCGCAAACCCTGTGCACACGGCACAGCGCACAGGGCTCCCTCACCTGGTTTAGCCCGCCGGTCGAGACGGTTGCCCGGGTGTGGCCGCTGAGCAGAGCCCAGCTACGTGGAGCAGATCGTCCTTGCTCGCCCTAAAGAGTGTGGCGACTCTAAAGTCAAACAGAGATTTTATCAAGGCCAGACATTGTCGGTCACGCAAAAGCAATTTTAATACTGAACGTCCGAAACGGTCTGCGTGGAAAATCCACCCTGTCTATGCATACGATAAATCAATTTCGATGAAACAGTTAGGTTTTGGCAGGCTGATTCGCGGAAGTTGGACTTTTATTCAACCGGTGATTTGAATTCACCCGAGCGAATTCCTTGTCAGCGTCGGCTACATGTGAGCAGGGCAGTTATTCCGAAGTGCCAATCCACTGAGACTTTCTTTCCAATGCCCTAGTTATTTTCGCCTTGGTAGACGAATTTAGCGACAAGAATCCGGCAAGGTACAGTGCGTGACCTATCTCATGAAATGTGGGCTGTTTGTATGTTGTCTTTATCGTCGTCTCCGCCTCCGCCTCCGCCGCCGCCGCCGCCACCACCACCATCACCACCACCGACAGTTCGAACATACAGTGAGTGACCTGTCTCATGAAATGTTGGCTGAAATTCTGAAATACGTTTACGATTAAGAAGGATTACTTGGTCGCGGTTGTAATACTGATTATCTTAAGATATACTCTTATAACATTTCGAACTTGGCAGGATGTCGGCTTTTAAATGCACTTCTTTTCAATCTCCTGTAGAAAGCGTGCTTGGTGAAAAATGACTACTTAAGTAGCATGCATTTTTCTCATTGATTTTCGATTGGCTTGGAAATTCGAATATATTTTATAGAAACCACAAACAAAAATGTGCTTTCTTTTAGTCAATCAATAGAGAATCACGTCTTCTTTATATTTTATACTTAAGGAAGGAGTATAATTAGGTTTTAAAAAAGTTTCTAATTATGAGACTTTTAAGACCGCGATATGTCCATTCACATAGCATCGTACCTAGCCGTTTACCACTGCTCCTCATGAAATGAGCAACATGGGCCGCATCCATTGCAAAATTTTATGGACCCTGTATGATATCTCTTTAATGATATAGAAAAATATGTGATTTTCTTTACGCGGAACGCCTGCACCTTGTAGAGTGTAATCACTAAGCCCTACTGCAACGAATGATCAGGCTCCAAATTTTTCGGCAATAAGAAAACTTTGTTAAAACCTAATTATACTCCTTTCTTGAGTATAAAATATAAAGAAGACGTGATTCTCTATTGATTGACTAAAAGAAAGCATATTTTAGTTTGTGGTTTCTATAAAATATATTTTAATTTCAAAGACCATCGAAAATCAATGGGAAAAATGCATGCAAATTAAGTAGTCCTTTTACCGAGTATGCTTTCTACAGGAAATTGAAAAGACGTGCATTTAAAAGCCGACGTCCTGCCAAGTCTGAAATGTTATAAGAATTTGCCTTATGATAATCAGTATCACAACCGCGACCAAGTAATCCTTCCTAATCAAAAACGCATTTCAGAATTTCAGCCAACATTTCATGAGATCGGTCACGCACTGTATCTTAAGTGATCGACCGCTTTCCGCGTGGTACGCATGTACACACACACAATCACAGGCAGCCGAGGAAGGCACTGTACTCCTGTCGAGGTGTTATGCAAATTTGCACTCAGAGGTCGTCCCCTCCGCAACATCGCGCAGACAACGGCTTAAAGTGAGATCAGTTCAAATGTCTGTATTAGGGATAAGGCAGACTTTCATTGGATTATGCAATGATGAGCCTAAGACGAGTGCGATGCGCTTGAGGCGTGCAGGTTGGCTCGCAAAGTTTGCCTTTTTCACTGAAGATAACCCGGTGAGAAAAGGCATGTGCTGTGAAGTAGAACTCAACCGTTATGTTCACCGACTTCATCCCTAAAAGAAGGTTTAATGCATTTTCCGGACCTGCCCGATTCGGCAGGATCTGCGCGAACTTGTGATATGCCGCTTTTTAATCAAACCCACTATTCAAGAGCAATGTGTCGAAAGAAGTAGCGAATTCGCCCGATTGACAGTCGATAGAACGGCCAAGCACTTACAGTAGGTGGGTTAACTCATGGAATGTCGGCAAAAATTTTGAAATGCGTACTCGTTTCGAAAAGACAAATTAAGTATGATTGTAAAAATAATCGCCGTCCAGCATCATTCTATAATAATCGCGTTGCTTCAGGGTGCCCTATTTCCCACGAACTAATTTCCGACTGCATTGAAAAACTATACACTTCACACAATGACTGCTTACGTAGCATGCAATTTTCTCTTTGATTTCCGATGCCCTTAAAAGGTCAACTATATTTCATGGAAAAAATGCATAAAAATATTTATTCTTTTGATCGTTTAGTAGAAAATTACGTCTTCTTCCAATTATTTACTCGAAGGAAGTATATAATTCGGTTTTCAAAACGTTTCCATTCGTGAGATTTTTTAATACCGTGAAATGGCCGTCCAAAAAACGCCATGTCTCTGCATTTACCAATGTGGCTTGTAAGGCTAACAAAATGGCTCAAATCCACTGCTAAATTTTATTAACCACACATGGTCTTCTCTTAATATCGTAGAGAAATATATGGTTTTCCGTACGCTGAAATTATACGGCTTTTGGCTTGGAAACCCTGAATTCAATTATAACAGCATGTCGGGTTCAAAATTATCCGGGAATGGGAAAAGTTTTTTTAAAAACCGTTATGTTCACCGACTTCTTCCCCAAAAGAAGGTTTAACACATTTTCCGAACCTGTCCGACTCGGCAGGATCTGCGCGAATCTTTAATCAGAATACCTATGCAGTAAGTCGGTCAGTCAGTGTACTTGAGGGAAATAGGCTTACGCCTTTGAACTCCCTATTTGTACATAAAAAATGTGAAGAAATTACAGCATTAAGTGAGTGCAGACATTGATTCACATATGCCACTGGGCTCATGGCTAAAAAGTTACATAGTCCGCTTATTGCTGCAGCATGTGTCTCTCATGCCGACATTTAAATGTCTCCTTAGATTGAGACATGACAACCGCCTCCGGCAGGTTATTCCGCGGTTCCACGAAGCGGTTGGAGAAGAAATATTTTCTCACATTCAATTTACCCTGGGACACACATGGCTTGAAGGGCTGTCCCCGGAAGTAGTTTGGAGTGGCGAGTTGGGAAAAGTCGTCGCACCGAAGGGCGCAGTCCAAGCCACGCACGATACGGATAGTTTCTATCAAGTCTCCGCACAACTGCCTATAACTCAGAGGATAGAGATTAAAGTCAGTTAAGCGGATCTCGTATGGCAGTGCACCTTGACCCCTCATTAATTTTGTTGCTCGCCTCTGCACCCTTTCGAGCGGACTGTTCAAGAGCAATGTGTCGAAAGAAAAGGCGAATTCGTCCGGTTGAGAGTCGATAGAACGGCCAAGCACGTACATCATGGCAACATTCATAGCCGAAACTGTCTTCGAGTTGTCTGAGGTAGTGCTTACTCAGCTGATAGTTCAGCCCGGCGGCAGTTGTTGTCTCCAATATCACGCAAGTCTGCAACTACGAGTCGCCACCTTCAGGTTCCCAGAGCAGCAAAAGAACCCCACCATGACTTTGGACTTGATCCATATTGTTAAGTTTAGAAGTCACATTGATAAATGCAGATACATGACGTTTTATAAACGGCCATTTCACGGTACCAGAAAATCTCACAATTAGAAGCTTTTTTGAAACCGAATTATACTCTTCCTTCGAGTATGCAATTGGAAGAAGACGTGATTTTCTACCGAATATGTAAACGAATGAATATTTGTATGCACGTAATCAATGAAATATGATTGAACGTTTAAGGGCATCGAAAATCAATGAAAAAAATTGCATGCTACATTAGCAGTCATTCTTTGCAGAGTATAGTGCTTGAATGTAGTCGGAAATTAGTTCGTTCGAAAGAACACACCCTGAGGCAACGTGATTATTATAGAATAATGCTGGATGATGATTATTTTTACAACCATACTTAATTACTATTTTCCAAACGAGAACGCATTTCCAAATTTCTGCCGACATTTCATGAGTTAGCCCACCTACTATATGTCATAGCAACATTAATAACCGAAACTGCCTTCGAGCTGTCTGCGGAAGTGTTTACTCAGCTGCAGTTATTGTCTCCAATATCACGCAAGTCTGCAACTACGAGTCGCCACCTTCAGGTTCCCAGAAAAGCAAAAGAACAAGAACCCCATCATGACTTCAGTCTAGAAGCCGTTTTCGTCTTGCTTTGACGGTTCATCCTCTGGATCTGTCATGGCATATTTTGTCTGACAAATGAATCTGGGTGAAACGGGGTGTACAATAAGCGGACTAACTCATGAAATCTCAACAGAAATTCCGAAATGCGTTATCGTTTCGAAAATATTAATAAAGTAGGATTGTAAATCTAATTATAATACGCCATAATTCTTTAATAATTCAGTTACCGCCCGGACGCTGGCTCTCCAAAAAACTTCTTTCCGGCTGCGTCTAAGAACCATACTCCTCGAGAAATGACTACTTAAGTAGCATGCATTTTAAAAATCGATTTTCGATGTCCTTAAATATTCAACTATATTGTATGAGAAACATGCAAAAAATATTCATTCTTTTGCTGTTTCATTAGAAAATTACGTTTTTTTTCATTTTACACTCGGAGGAGTATAATTTGGTCTTATAAAATTTTTCCAATTCCTGAGTAATTTTGAACCCGACCTGCCGTTACACTTGCTTTCAGGGTTCTCAAACTACAAGCCGTAAAATTTCCGCGTACGGAAAACCATACATTTCTCTGCGGCATTAAGAGGAAACCATATGGGTTTCATAAAATTGTAGCAGTGGATTTGAGCTTCATTGTTAACCTTACAAGCCACATTGGTAAATGCAGAGGCATAGAGTTTTATAAAGGGTCATTTTACGGTATTAAAAATCTTATAATTAGAAACTTTTTCAAAACCAAATTGTACCCTTCCTTTGAATGTAAAATTGAGATAAGACGTAATTTTTTACTAAGTGAGCAAAAGAATAAACATTTTTAAACATGTTTTTCGTAAAATATAGTTGATTATCTAAAGACATTGAAAATCGATTAAAAATGCACGCTGCTTAAGTAGTCATTTCTCAAGGAGTATGGTTCTTAGACGCAGCCGGAAAGAAGTTTTTTGGAGAGCCAGCGTCCGGGTGGTAACTAGATTATTATAGAATTATGGTGTATTATGATTAGATTTACAACCCCACTTTATTAATCTTTACGAAACGAAAACGCATTAAGGAATTTCGGTTGAGATTTCATGAGTTGGTCCACCTACGGTACTTTTGCATATCGCCTTAATCTTGCTCAGAAGTGACCAGAGAGCAGTCTAACTAGTGACATTTTTAGTAGGTTGAACAGATGGCTGCTGTGATTCGGTATCATCAAAAAGTGCTAAATTTTCATCGCGAGGAAAGGATGCGCCCATTTCTGATGCTGGCGTCCTATAAATACCAAGCTCTGACGTAAATTCTGAAGACGCCTACCTCTGGTGACTGTCTAGAACAATACTTTTCCTCTTGAAAGGCTGGCGCTGGGTGCTGCATTTTGTCCTCCTTTGTAGACAGAGCCAGTGGGAACTGCTCAGGTTGGCGTCGCCCTCTGCATCCTCTTAATGTAATAAGCAAAAAATGGAGTCTGGACATCATTTGGCCGAGAAAGTTTCTGCTGGATGGGCAGGGGGGTGGACTACTGTTCTACCCCCCCCCCCCGCTCCTTAATTTGACGTCATTTTGGCCGCTGGAGACCGGAAAATGTTCTTTCGCAGTCAAGAAAGCGAGCAAAAGTCTGTCGAGTTTGCTGTGGTTGAGCGTGGTCAAAATCATAGTCTAGGACCACCTAGTCTTGCCCTGCCCTCATACTTTCTACGCACCCAAAATACCGAATGCTGCTGCTGCTGCTACTGCTGCTGCTGCTGCTGCTACTGCTGCTGCTGCTGCTGCTGCTCCTGCTGCTGCTGCTGCTGCTGCTGCTGCTGCTGCTGCTGCTGCTGCTGCTGCTGCTGCTGCTGCTGCTGCTGCTGCTGCTGCTGCTGCTGCTGCTGCTGCTGCTGCTGCTGCTGCTGCTGCTGCTGCTGCTGCTGCTGCTACGGAACCCGGCCTGCACTGTAGGTTCGCACTACTGCACAAAAACAATGGACCGACATGTGCGGGATGACGTCCCGCAAGGGTGTTAATCAGAGCACAACTATGGAAAACTCTGCCATGGAGCTGCCACCTAGGTCTGAAGCGCCAGGCGAATTTCCGGTGTGCACTCTGTGCAGAACTTGCTTGGGACATGCACATATCATCACTCTGCGTGCGACCTCTTGCGCGCATGTCTACATCCAAATGCTAACCCAAATTCGGGAGTGAGTTTTCGTTTAGGGGGGATTACGTAGGCGGGGCTATAACACGAATACCATGCAGCATAATCCCGAGAACTTTTACTCAAGTCAGGATGCCGACACTTTTTCGACCGCCTGGCAAAACCACGACCGGCAAAAATTGACTACTTAATTAGTGTGCATTTTTCCCATCGATTTTCGACGGTTAAATGTGTCCAATTAAATTTGCTAGAAAATACGGTCCAATATAGTATTTAGCAGCAACTTACATATGCAGATTTCATACAGCAAGGGAGTATATCCTCTTGTTTTAAAAAAGTTTGAAATCGTGCGAATTTGTAGAGCCGTCAATTTTCCATTCATATAGCATCTTTCTGCTTATTTATCAATGCTCCTTATGACGTACACATCACAGACCTCATTTAGGACAGCACTATATGAGAAATATATAATCCTCCCAGAGTGAAAATGTACTGACTTTAATTTGGAAACCCTAGGACCGAGCACAACAGTAGTCGCGGTTAAAAATTATCCCGAAACAGAAAAACTTTAAAACCTTAATATGCCATTTAGTGCAGAATATATTCAATATCAAATGAGTTCAGTACATTAGATTTTCCCGCAGACAGAGTGGACGACTTGAGTCTCACAGGCGTTAAACGCCATAGGGCAGATTACAACAGGGGCAAGCGGATGCAGGAGGCGAGATTCATTCTTGAATACTCTATTTCATGACCGTGATTACCAGAACATAAGGAAGCACTGTAATTTTTCAAATGCTTAGGTTTTCTGTCCTTTCGTCATGACTTTCCTTTACCGTTCACTTTAGTTACTTCACAGGTCAGTCGTTGAAGATCGCAGCGCCTTATAAATAGGCCGCTGTTGCATGCAGTTGTCTGAAGATATCTGTCAGCTTCACGATGGGAAATTCGTCGTGAGAAGGAAAAATTTACGCCCGTTGAAAAGTCTGGCTGAAAATCTCATGCCCCACGGCGGCTCTCCGGCAAATTCACATCACATCGAACAAAAAATCACAGGCATCCTGTCGTGGAGTCGGCAAGGCAGATGACAGAAGAAAACTTTTGATTCTTTCGAGTGTTTTGTCCATAAATCAGACCATGCGGTGGATGATTTGCACCAATACAGGAGCTGGCTCGGGGTCTGGAATCGGGGTCATCTGTGGGAGGGGGGCGAGGAGGAGGAGGAGGAGGAGGGGGAGGAGGAGGAGAGGGTGTGTTAGATGTTGCGTAAGTCTACCATCAGCCCAACCTAAACCATAAACACGTCACCGTCCCTGCTCCAACCTTGCTGTGGAGCACACAGTGGACATCGTCGAAAACAACGGTAGAACTGTCGTGTGTGTGTGTGTGAGAGACAGAGAGAGGGAGGGAAAGCGAGTGTGCATTTACGATTCTTCAGTATCGTTGAATCCCTTGTGCACACGCTGTTGGTCGTAATTACAATGAGGGAGGGGGAGAGAGCTTGCCAAAGTGGAACATGATTCCTCGGATATGGAATCAGACGCATGTTTGGGTGAATTGTCCACATGCAAGTTAACTCGACCCATCATAAGCGACGGCATCCGGTAACTGTGACATGCGCAACCTCCACCAAACTCTCCTCTTCCTTCACTCACCTTGCTCCGTTGGCTAGGCAGTATCGAGACAACCGGCGGCGTGGTCTGACACAATTAAATTAAATAGCCCGTTTACGCATTCCACACGGTGCATGGTCTCTATGTGATATTTAACCCACTTCACACATCAATTGACACACCGGCTCGGACAACGGGGTGGTAATTAGGAGAGAAAGAAAGATTGAGGTCAACTGTCTCAGTTCATATTCTTCACTGCAAATAAGCTGACTCGAGCTAGAAGTCATGTCTCAAAAGGCCGCCAAATAAGTTAACTCGGTCATCCTATGGCGACTTAGATTTAGGCTGCGATAATTCCTCATTACTGTTGCCCTCCCACTTAGTTTGGATCTAAAGCCCTCCTCCTTGCTTGTCGTGTGATATCCTGATCCGTTGAGCCTGTACCAGGGGTTTAAGTGGCACCCCTAGACGCGAGTTCATGTCGCGTCCCGTCACCGGTCTTCTGTACTATGTCGCCGGGTCCAGGTGGAAGAGGAGGAGAGAGTGCGAGAGATGCCGTGCAAGTCTATTGTCGCCACAAACTAAATCACGCGCAAGTCACCGTCCCTGCACCCACCCTGTTGTGCGGCACACTGTGCGGACATTGTCGGTCATTATGGTCGAACTGTCATGCAGTACGTATCAGGCCACAATTATGACGACCCATATCTCACATGGGCAGGAATTCCCTAAAAGCCACATGAAACATGAAGCATAGCAGCTTGACTCCTAGCCCTGACAAGGATCCTGTTGCCTTTTCAGCTGGCAGTTATTAGGCCACCATCTAAAACTCGATGTGGTAGGTTCAAGCGCGCCACACTTATCGCTAGTGTGGAATGCGCTGATGTGCAGTTAGGATGGATTTCTCAGTATCGCTCACACTCCCTCTTCTCCCATCCACAGCAGTAGTCGGCTGTTCGTGTCTGTCAGCCGTCGGCTGATAAACGTGCGCCATGAGCTTGTCTGATCCTCGTTTGCGGTTCAGTGCGTATGATATGCAGGCCGCTGTGTGGATCAGTACACGATAATTCGATCATCGTTGCCGACGATATCCACCGTGGGCTCCAAAGCAGGGTGAAGCAGGCAAGGGGACTTGCGTGGAAATTAGTTTATAATGATAGTAGACTTGCACAGCATCTATTGCACTC